GCTCTCTGCTGGCTGTCATTTCCCTTTAGTGTTTGGGCACCGGAGTCTTCTGTGTTCTCAGATCTCTTTCTCTTAAACCAACTTGTGTATCCCTTTTCTTGTAAAGATTTGAATGGGAAGCCAAATATCTCCATTCTACTGTTGGCTCATTCAGGCAAATTAGCTGCATCAACCAAGGGGCAAACATCTTGGCAGCATTCCCATCCACTGCTAAAGAAATGATACCAGATGAGTGCACAGGACCAGCCAACAGGGGGCAGTGCTGCCTCGTCCTGCTTTTTTACACATGGTGGATCAAAGGAAGTCTGGCTGTCAACAAAGCAGGTGTTCAGGAGCCATAGAAATATGTGTAAGTAGTCAGCTTGATCCTTACGGGAAAATCCCCACTTGCAGAAATAAATCCATCAAAAGAGACAAGACTGTCTTGCATATTAGATTGGTACCTCTTCAGTGCTTGCAAGCCTAATGTTTTCGGAGGGTTGCATACTTCTTTTATGTTGGCAAGGGGATTCTAGTTGTTATAGTCTAAAATAGTAACTTTTCCAAGTTGTAGCTGTCACCATGTTCTGCTTGTAAAGTGATATATCCTTTTTTATTGCCTTTAACCACTCTTGGTGCGGTGGTTGTTATTTGTTTTATTTATTTAAAGTATTTTTACCCCACCTTTCTCCTTGAAAAGGACCCAAGGCAGCTTACAACATTGAAAGACAATATTTAAAGTTGAAAACGTCAGATCTCTCAAATGAGCATACAATGGTGATTAACATCATTAAAAGACAATATTTAAAGCTAAGAACAAGGAATATGAAGAAGCATCTTACATCATTAAAAGGCAATATTAAAGCTAAGAGCAAAAGTATAAAATATTAAAAAGAAGAAAACAAACACCACTCTGAGAAATGGAAAACACAAAAATAGAAACCATAAGTAGTACTAAAAATCCAGTCGAAGCAGTAATGCATAACATTCTCTTTAAAAATCAGACACAGGTAGCTGGTTACTGAGAGAAGGCTTGCCTGAAGAGAAAGGTCTTTGCCTGCTTGTGGAAGGATAGCAAAGGCGGGGCCAGACTGGCCTCTTGTGGAAGGATAGCAAAGACGGGGCCAGACTGGCCTCCTGCTGAAGTCTCCTGACACTTTCCATTGGCAGCCCCACATAGAGCACATTACAGCAATCCAGCCAGAAAGTAACAAGGTTGTGTACAACACTGGCCACGTCAGATCTCTCAAGAAATGGACATAGCTGGCACACTATTTTTAATTGTGTACTCCTGGCTACTCCTGGGCATCTAGGGTCTGGGATCAATCCAGGAGCACCCCCAAGCTATAAACCTGCTTTTTCAGGGGGAGTATAACCCCATCCAGTACAGGCTGCATCCCTATTCCTTGATCTACATTTCAGCTGACCAGAGGCACCTCTGACCCCATCCAGTTACGTTCCAGTTTATTTGCCCTCATCCAGTCCATTACTGTTATCAGGCACTGATCTAGAGCTGAAACAGCTTCCTTGGATTTAGGTGGCAAGTAGAGACAGAGTTGGGTGTCATCCACATACTGGTGACACAGAACCCCAAAATTCTGCATACTCTCTCCCAGTGGTTTCCTGTAGATGCTAAATAACATAGGGGACGAAACAGAACCCTGAGGGACCCCACAGGTCAGCGGCCAGGGTGCCAAACGTGAATCCCCCAGCACCACCTTCTGAGTTCTTTCTTCCAGGAGGGACTGGAGCCACTGTCCACATACTGGTGACACAGAACCCCAAAATTCTGCATACTCTCTCCCAGTGGTTTCCTGTAGATGCTAAATAACATAGGGGACGAAACAGAACCCTGAGGGACCCCACAGGTCAGCGGCCAGGGTGCCAAACGTGAATCCCCCAGCACCACCTTCTGAGTTCTTTCTTCCAGGAGGGACTGGAGCCACTGTAAAACTGCAGTACTGCAGCCAAGACTCTGTTCACAACCTGAGTTTGATCCCGATGGGCTCAGACTGCCAGCTTGAGGTTGTCTCAGCTTTCCATCCTTCTGAGGTCAGTAAATTGAGTACCCAGCTTGTTTGGGGCGGGGGGGAGGGAATTTGTAGCCTGTATAATTATAAACTATCCAGAGAGTGCTTTAAGCACTGTGGAGTGGTATATATGCAGCACAATTTGCTTTTATTTTTTAACAGAGACAACTACAGTGGTACCTCGCTTTACAATTGCCCCGCATTACGACGAATCTGCTTAACGACGATCTTTTTGCGATCGCAATTACGATCGCAAAACAATGGTCTGAATGGGGGAATTTCACTTTGCGATGCTCGGTTCCCTGCTTTGGGAACCAATTCTTCACAAAACGATGTTTTTTGAACAGTTGATCGGCGGTTTCAAAATGGCTGCCAGGTGATTAAAATGGCTCCCCGCTGTGTTTAGGGACAGATTCCTTGCTATACAGGCAGCAAAAATGGCCGCCATATGGAGGATCTTCGCTGGGCGGTGAGTTTTTACCCCATTGGAATGCATTGAACGGATTTCAGTGCGTTTCAATGGGGTTTTTATTTTCGCTTTATAACGTTTTTGCTTAACAGCAATTTTCCTGGAATGGATTATCGTTGTTAAGCGAGGCACCACTGTATATAGCCATGGACTAACATAATCTTCCGATACAGGCCAAATACCGCCTTTTAACACTTTTCTCCCTGGTGTGTGTGCCCTTGTGTGATCCACAGGATATTGACTTCCTGAGATATTTACCTGCCAGCAGTATCAGTTCTGCAGAATGTATCTATGAGTAGGATGACTCAGACTAGAAATGTATGCAGAATGTATCTATGAGTAGGATGACTCTCTCAGACTAGAAATGTTGTCTTATTGTGTGTGTGTGTGTGTGTGTGTACACATACGTGTACATGTCTGCATGCATACACAAGTGTGTGCTGATGTTTTAATAATCAGGTGTGCCTTGGTTTGGTCTAAAACACTGTAACTGCCCATACTCTGATTTCTCTTCAGACTGTATAAATCTTTCACCTATCCATAACAGCCTAGTGTTCACGCATGAGAGGAAATGGCAGCAGCCTGTTTTGGGATAATATCAGCCCTATACTGTTTCAGTGCTCTTTGCTAACTGGGGTAGGAACAGTGCTTGGGAACATTACATTTTGGACTGCAGCTCTGAGACCTCCCAGGTCATACCAAATGCGGGATTCTTGGACTCCTAACGTTTCCAGGATTTGAGCAAGAGTTTGAGGTTGGGTGATTAACTGCTGCTTGCAGGAGCTCTCTGTGTGATCAGTGTCTCGGTGTGAGCCTGAGGGGGAATCTGTCATATAATCCCATGGTTCCCAACCTTTTTGCCTCCACGGACCAGTCTAGCATGTGGGGGGGGTTGTGTCCAAGTGTGCGGGGGAGGGGCAGTGCATGCCCAGGATAGGCATGCATGCCTCTGCATGTGGGTGGGGCAGGAGATTTGTCTCCGTGGCCTGGTCCTGGCAAGGCCACAGACCGGGACCAGTCTGTGGACCGGGGGTCGGGCCCCCCTGATATAATCCACTCAGAGCGTCTTTAAATTGGATTAAGAACATAAAATAATACTGGACAGAAAGATGTAAGGGCTGTGATAAGTGAGGGCACATATGAAAAGTTTCCATGTGTGTCCTCACTTTTCACAGGTTTCTTTCCCTTGGGGAGCTTAAAAGATCTGTGTGTGGACCTTTCTGGAACTCTGAGGATTAGGTGCTCTTTTTAAAAAAAAGTTAATCCTGGGATACTCAGGCCACTGATGGTAAGATATGATTGCAAGCCATGCCAGCAACAATCATTGACCCCAATTTTAGTTCATGTATACTTGAACAGAACACACAGTCACTGTGTGAAGACAGGGCATCAGCATGGGGAGAAAACTGAGAGCTCATCTGTTGTCCAACATCTTCTGCCTTGTCCAATATTTCTTAAAGGCAGTATTCTCCAGTGGGCTGAAATAACTGTACAGTAGTCAGAAAGTGTAAATAGAGTCCCTAGGAACAAATCTGCCTCGATTTTTAGGGAAGAAAATATGAGTCAGGTCTTCAGTGCTGGGGAGCACAGTTAATGATGACATCTTGGACCTTTTTGCATTGTGAAGAGTGAACAGTTAGGTTTTGTCAGTAACATTTTTAGTCTGGTCTCCAGTTGATTAGAAGAGGAGCACATTTCTCTTTCCATCTTATCAAGGGGACCTCCGGCTCACTTCTGATTAGGGCTGGCTGTTGAAGGGAGAGGGATTGGCTGCCATGGGAATGAGGGAAGGACCCCATGTTTCCCCAACTGTAGGCCATTTTAAGCAAATCTGTCTCAATGAAAGTGTGCCTGTTCTATTCTGAGTCCATTTCTTAGGTGGTGGGTTCCTTCATTTCGAAGCCCACATGTTCCTTGCTGATGATTTCTTGCTGAACATATTTAGCCCAGATATGGAAGAGACATGTATCAAGATGCTTGAAGATGCCTGATACATTTTGCCCTTTAAATGCTTTAAGGCTTTCTTCAGGAAGTTAAAGAAAATATTCTGCAGTATTTCTGTTAAAATACAGCAGTGTAGCAAATAGAATTCTACTTGCTGAATCACATTAATGGCCTCCCATTGGGAATGTCCTCTCATATCATTTCTAGCTTGATTACATTTCTCCTTATCTGTTTAGTGCATAGAAACCTCTTGCCCTTGCAGTTTTTATACTGCTCCTGCTTACAAGTGGTCTGCAATCTGCCAGGGCAGTGTATGACCCATCAGGGTAAACTTTGCCCACAAGTCAGGCATTGTGTGGCCTGCCATATGGTCCCCAACCTCCTCCTCCTTGCAGCATCAAGTAGACAGGGGGGAAAAGAGGATTGCTGACCCTATACATACTTGTGGGCTGCAGCTGATTCAAGCTGATTCTGTGTTTTGGCAAGCCTGGCTATACCTTACTGCCTCTTTTATTATTATTATTAATATACTTGCACGGACTATTCTGATCCCCTTTTCCTTTTCTGCCTTCAACCAGGTCAGTTGGCCATATACACAAGAGGGTGACTGAGCATTTGAAAGTAGCTTATTTTGTAGCTGACAACTTTGGAGAAGAATATACTGGCACAAATCTGAAAAATGTGGAAAGGAGTGTGGAAGATGATTACATTGCAAACCTCAGAAATAACTGTTGGAAGGAGAAACAGCAGAGTAAGTACCTCAGGAGATTTGGTCCAACATAGTGCTCCACTCGGTGTCACACATCAAGGAGTTCTGTGTTTTATAAGGGGGATAGATTTCCCTATTCTCAGAGGTTACAGTATTCTTGCAGAGCTGGATTATTGGGATGGAAAAGGTGTTTTCCGTAATAAAGGTGGTGGTGCCATCTAGCAATAAAAGTTTGTTGACCATGAAGCATGTGCACTAAGAGATAACACGAGCTACAGATACGTAGATTAACACCCTAAAGAGATGTATTATTATGGTGTGGGCTAGCTTTATTTCTTACAACTTAAAAACAAAAACTGGTAGGACTATAAAGAGTCAATAAAAATTGTTTCAGGAACCACAACTGGGTTGCACGCTTCAGAGATCCATCCCTTAGAGAAGGCTATTGTGCTGAGTTGACTTATCATCCATAAAGGCTTTTACAGCCTTAAAAAGGTGTTAGAAGGTTGTTATCCAGAGATAAATTCGGGGCAACCTTGACGTATTTGTGAGCATGATTTCAGCCAAGGACCTTGTCCTGTTTATTCAAATGCTGTAGCCAAATGGGAACTCCTGTTTTAGGCAAAATTAATTATGAGGCCCCGTATGTCCAACAGATTTCCTAATGTGGTCCTCCAGCAGGGGCAGATTCTGAAACTTTGTCCACCTGATGTAACCTTATTTATAAATTATTATTCAGATAAAACTGTAATTACAAATGGCTGAGTCACTGTGTTCAGCAGCAGGCAAATGTTTTTCTTGATTGTCTGCTCAAGATGACACCTTCAGCAGAACTGGAGAGGTGACAGGCTTGGTATTTTGCCAGCAGGAACTGGGAAACATACCCTCCGCTACAGGACCTCACTGGCAAGCATCTGGCATTGAGGTGCAGGTCTAGGTGAGCAATTTCAACTTGCAGGCATTTTGGACAATTACCTTCAATCATTTCGGCTTTCTTTTTACAGAGGAAGGCTTACTCTACCGGGCACGTTACTTTGGAGATTCAGATCTGTATCAGAGAGCACAGAAGATGGGCACACCAAGTTGCAGCCGACTGTCTGAGGTGCAAGCATCAATGCATGGATAGCCTTGACAAAAGCAGTCCACAGAGATCTGAGTAAGAGCTATAGACTTAGTTATTTCAGGATCTCAAAAGTGTATTAAAGGAGCATTTATTTTTGGGAATAGTGAAATAGCCTGTAGTTAAATCTCCACCTCATTTGCACACTTTCTTTCATCAAGAAATCATACCCTCCACAAGAACATTCAGCATAGTTTGCCCTATTGATGTTCACTCACTCTTTTTTTTTTTATGTTTTATGGATGCTTTTGGCAGCAAATCAAAATGACCTGGTAGTTGGCTGACATGTCATACATGTATTTTAGATTGTCTTTCTGTTTGTTCTCACTAATTATTATGTAGGTTGGGGTGTGCATTATGTGGGCCTGTACATATTGGACTGCAGATCCCAGCATTCCTCACCGTTGGCTGTACTAGCCAGGACTGATCGGAACCGCAGTTGAACAATAGCATTTTGCCCACCCTGTGGTCTTAGTAAAAAACTTGTCTCTGTGACAGTGGCTTCACCTTTTTTTAAAGGTGTGGCACAATTTGCATGGGCAACCATTTCAGACACAGTTAGGAGACTGGCAGGAGTGGAATAAAGCCATTGCAAGCTTCCCTGAAAATGTATCAAGTGCCCTTCACTCAATGGCTGTTCTGTGACATCCAGAGGATCGGTGAGCAACTGGGCCACTGCCATTAATGAAATAAGTCAAGTTGTGTTGCCTTCTGCCTCTGAAACTGTGGAACTGTGTGTAATAGCTTCAAAAAAGAGTTCGAGCCCTTCCCTCAAACACTCTTAAAAACAGCTTTGCCTTTTTGAACCCGCTGGATCAAGCCGGTTTTGCTATCTTTCCACATAAATTCTCCAATCAAAATTGCCTACCCCAGTAAAGCCGCCATTGTCATCACCATGTTCACATGTATGTCCCTTTCCGTGCTATGCCATGTCAAAAATATCTCACAGCATCAGCAGAGATGACATAATGAAATACAGTCTTTCATTAGGTGAATCACTGACAGTTACAAGGCAGCAAATATAACATACTCTAGAAGTGGGTTTTTTTAAAAGTACATTAAAATATTAGCAATAATTGTCTAATGAGTTATCCTTGAGCCCAATGATAAAAATATAAAAACATGATCCGGATAGCAGTCAGCATAAAATATCCAAGATTGAGTGTTAACTCCAGCCACAACCCCTAATTCTGATCGTCTCTAGGCAACTGGAAAATCTGATCCTGATGAAAATAAACTAGGCAGACGATCAAGAGTGAGATCTTGCAGCAAGTTTTCTTTTTTTAAAAAAACTGTCTTTTCGCCCCTCTAGCTCAGCTATTAATAGCTGAGTAGAGGAATAGTGTGGCTTCAATAGCCCCAGTGCACCACTCAGTCAAATTTTTTATGTTTTTAAAAACTTACAGCAGGAGAACTGATTACAAACGTCCTGAATGCCATTTACTTTGACCCTCACTAGGGGGTAGTAGCCCTATTTCTGGACTCTCGGCAAGTCATTTTGCACATCAGGATGTACTTGATGGAATGGAATTTCCTTTCATGTAGAAAATTAGTGATAGTCTGAAATGGTACAGCCCAGTCACAGATTTCTTAACTGGTAAGAAGTAGACCTTGATCATCTTTTAGAAACATGGGACTTTAATCAACATGATATAGTAAAGGCACAGTGGTTTGTCAAACTTGTCCACTTCTTTCCAGCAAAGAGAAGGGGCAAAAAAGCCCTTAAGATGTTGATGAACACATTTAGACATTGGATTGTATGAACACAAAAAGCCCTGCAAGCATATTCAGTTCAATGCACTTCTAATGCCTATGCAGACCTTCACACGGAACACTCAGAGGTGTGCAAGACCTGCAGGTAACCCAGGAACACAAGGGTCAAAGCTTACCAGTGTCCTTATATCATCATCACCCTTTCAGCCCTTCCGGCTTTCCATCTGAATGCCTAGATAGGACTAGAGACATTTGAAAGAAGCCATCAGCTGTTTTGAGTAAGAGTATCTAGATTTGCCATGTGTCTGCTGGCTCTGGCTAGTGGTGGCACTTGTCTTCACTGGGTGCCTTAGCTTCTTTCATTTCTGTTTCCATCAATGTCCCATGCTATTCGCAGTAACTCCTCTTCCTCCTCACAAGTAGCAAGGCCTATATGGTTTGTTTACAGTATACCCTTACTGGAAATTTCTTTGTGTGCCAGTTGTTGGATAAAGTTAAATCTAAGTTTAAATGTGCTGAACAGATGAACATTTTCAGTTGCTCTGATCAAATAGATTACTTGTTATGGGAGTGGAATACAGTATTTCTCTGGGATTTTTATTATCTTTCTACTGCATTGGGGACTGATACTGTTGCTGCTTTTATTCTCAGACTCTTCAAATGCCTGAAGACTGTGGGAGAAGTGCACTGAGCCAAGGAGACAGACTATTTAAAGAATCAGACCTTAAATTAAAATGGAATTGGAGAATTAGCAACGCACAAACTGCCCTCTCCTCTCTGTCTCTCCAGCACTGGGTATCTCTTGGAACAGAAGAAAAAAGATTACTTGTCTTTTATTTCCTCCTTTCATTCTTCACTATTTTGTCTCTTTCTCGGGATCTTGCTATCCTGAAAACAAAATGTTGAGTTGTTTTTCTTTTAAAGCCTGTAGAAACCACAGAGCAGAAAGAGGGGGCTTTCTGCCATTACACTGGTTCAAAGAGAGATGGAGAAATTGGAAGCTATGTAGGAGGGTTTTTTTTTTATCAATTTTAAAAAGCAAAAGAAATTATTTAGAATTAACTTATAGCTGTAAATATGTTGTACTTCTAAACTATGCAGGGATAGAATTAAATTATTTCATTATTTTGCTGAACTTCACAGCCCAGGATGTGTGAATTTTACTCTTCCCCTCCACGATCAATCTCACCCTCTGAAACCTTTCTTACCTATGGCAGCTTTGTCTGATGCCACAGAAATTTTGTATTTTTAGTACAAATTGGGTTTTTCTGGAGGTTGAATTCAACCGGCAGTTGTTTCTTTTACTGTATAAGAGGATCACTAAAAGCTGTAGGGGTGTTTTCTATACAGATTGAACTCGGCCAGTTTTCAACACGGCCAGTGTTAAACTTGTGATCTGAACCACTGGCTTCTCAATAGAGCACTAATTCCTCGAAGAGGAAGGAGAGCAAATGGTTCCAAATGCTGTTTATTTCATCACGGTTGTTTGTGTGTTTGTTTGGAATTTCTTATTAACGTTTATGTTTCGGGAACTCCCATTTTTTTTTCTGCTTCACAAATCAGTGTTTGTTCTGGTACATAGAGCTTTCCTCAAGCTACATCAGTTTGGTCATCTTTTTTTGTAAGTAGATTTCCTCCATCTTGCAGCACTCCAAAGTGGTATACAAAACTGCCTCTCCTTGACAAAAAAATGCTGCTGTAGGCTTCATTCCAAGAATCTGGTGTCGTGCTGACCTGCTCTACAAAGTGGTGCTGCTGTTTCATATCCTTCATTCATTTTGACATGCTTTATGTAGCCTTCCTCTTGCAGCAAAGGGGTGGACACAAAGCAAAAATATTTGTTGGCATCATGCTATCTGTCAGCTTTCTCAAGAGGACAGGATCCCTTTGTCAAAGGTGGTTTTGCTATATTTTCCACTTCTTGAGCAGGTTGGAAAAAGGCAATGTTAATATTGCTGTTATTTGACAGGACTGTGAAGTCTGTCTTCCTTGAGAAAAAAAATGAACTCTAATTTTGACTCATTTATTAATAACGCCTGTCCTACATTGGTTTTGGGTTTTTTTTTTCAAGCTGATACATTGCTATCAGAAGAGCCTTAAGATATGTTTTTTTCAGGCACTAGATAACACCAGATACCAAGTGGTAGGTTTAGGAGTACAAGGAATTGTTATTTTATTCATATTCTTCCTTTGGAATCAACGAACTGGATATTAATTTGACACAAGTCAGTGAACTTGCAGTCTCATTACCTGTTGTCCATTTAGCTACACTGAGAGACAAGTTCACTCGGTATATACTTAGGAATGCTTCCCTGCCCCAGACTGTCTTGCGATGCAGGTACGGGCAGTGATGGAGTTTAAGATGTCAGTTCTGTCGAACTAACCTGCAGTGATTGCTTAGGCTCTAGCTGTGTTTTTCAGAAGGACAGCCCATTCAGGGGTTCAGCATGAGGTAGCCGGTATCAGGTGGTCCCAGTGCTTGCCTGTCCAGCCCTTTTCATTTCTTAAGTAGTTAGCCATGGATGGAATGAGCAATGTGCAATAAAAAGCATAGATCCCGAAAGATACTGTATTTGCAAAGGCTGTATTTTTTAATTTAGAATTAATTATACAACTGTACATCTATAAATAAAGGTTTATAACATGAAAACTGTGTTGTCAGCATTTGTATCATGAGGCCTGGATGACACAAGCAAAGTAGAGTAATTTGATGGAAAGTGGATGCCGTAGTGCCATTATACCACCGCATATTAGTGAAGTTGAGAATGGTGCCCTTACCGTGAACTGTGCTCAACTGATGTTTGTTTTTATTGCTGGAAATATTGCTGTCCTCCAAAACTGGCAAAACCGAGTTGTTAGCGACAGTAAGGATTAAGTGTACTACTGGTACAAACAACATAAGCCATAGAGGTTTCTATTCATGTACAAAAAGCTGGTCTGTGTTTCAGGGGGAAAATAGTCAGACTATCTAATAAAGCTCCAGCAGCTTTTAACCGGTGCTTTTTGCCTAATATTGTGTCACATCCTAATGGGACCCACAACCCACTTTTTGAACAGACTTGGAGTAGCCCAGCCTACCCTACAGTGAATGTTATTTGCTTCTATACAAGAGAATGACTAATATCCACAATTATTGGGGGAGGAGAGAGACTATATTCAGTAACGTACTGTAGGGGAGTACAAACTGCCCATCGCCTCTGAAATTGAGTGTCCTGGTCAAAATCAAAAGGGTACTGTTCTTTTTGGGGAACCATATATTTGTGCATCAGATCCTGAAGCTGAGGCTCCAATACTTTGGCCATCTCATGAGAAGAGAGGACTCCCTGGAAAAGACCTTAACGTTGGGAAAGTGTGAAGGCAAGAGGAGAAGGGGACGACAGAGGATAAGATGGTTGGACAGTGTCACCGAAGCAACCAACATGAATCTGACCCAACTCCGGGAGGCAGTGGAAGATAGGAGGGCCTGGCGTGCTCTGGTCTATGGGGTCACGAAGAGTCGGACACGACTAAACGACTAAACGAATGAATATTTGTGCACAGGAAGCACACTGTGCACACAGTGGCTGAATTCCTCTTGCTTAACACTAAAGCAGGCTTACTGAATCAGTGGGGATTTAGTGAGTCAAATCTTCTGTAGGTTCCAGTAAGTCAAATGAGCTTACTCTAGTTGCAACGTACTATGCTAAAGTAAGCTGCGACACAAATATGCCCATTTGAATCAATGGGACCTACAGAGGAGCTGATGCACCAAATCCCCACTGATTCAGTGTGACTTACTACACTCTGCATGTCTAGGCATCCTTCAGTCTTGAGAGACTGTGGTAACATGCTCTGTATGGAGGACTTGGAACAGCGTCTACTGTGGTTGAGAAGGCCAATTTGAGAGTGACAATCCCTTCCACACTGAAGACAAATACAATCTGTCCCCTGTCCCCCTCCCTGATTTTGCTGGTTTCAGGACTGCCTCCTTGCCTCGACCTGCTGGACAAGGGTCTCTTCAAATTGGGAGAGGCCATGCTGCAGTGCCTTCCTCCAACACTCAGATGTCAGGGTTTCCCATCTGTTGAGGTCCATTCCAAAGGCCTTCAGATCCCGCTTGCAGATATCCTTGTATCACAGCTGTGGTCTCGCTCTGGGGCGATTTCCCTGCACTAATTCTCCATACAGGAGATCTTTTGGAATCTGACCGTTAGCCATTCTCACAACATGCCCAAGCCAACATAGACATTGCTGTTTCAGTAATGGATACATGCTAAAAATTCCAGCTCGTTCTAGGACTACCCTATTTGGAACTTTGTCCTGCCAGGTAATGCCAAAATTGTGTTGGAGACAACGCATATGGAAGGTGTTCAACTTCCTCTTCTGCCGTGCACAAAAGGTCCAGGCCTCACTGCAGTACAGGAGAGTGCTTGGGACACAGGCTCTGTAGACTTGGATCTTGGTATATGCGATCAGCTTCTTATTAAACCATACTCTTTGTGGGGCTAGAGAAAATGGAAGCTGCTTTGCTAATGTGTTTATCTACCTTGATATCTAGAGAGTGTGTGTCAGAGATCATTGAGCCATAGTGCATGAAATCATGAACAACCTCCAGTTCTTGTGTAAGATGGTAATAGAGGTGAGCCTGCGCCCTGGCTCATGACTTGTGTTTTCTTCAGGCTGATTGTTAATCCAAAATCTTGGCAGGCCTTGCTAAACTGTTTCATGAGTTGTTGGAGGTCTTCAGCAGAATAAGCAACAACAGCTGTGTCATCAGCGAAGCGCAAGTCCCGCATGCATTTCAGCTGGACTTTGGTCTGCTCTCAATCTAGAGAGATTGAGCTTTCCATCTGATCTAGTCCGGAGATAGACACCTTTTGTTGTGGTTCCAAAAGTGTGCTTCAGCATAACAGCAAAAAAGATCCCAAACAGTCAGTCCGAAGACATATCCCTGTTTCACTCCGCTTCAAATGTCAAAGGGATCTGATGTTGAGCCATGAAAAACTACAGTGCCCTTAATTTCCTCATGAAAGGACCTGATGATAAGGAGTCGAGGTGGACATCCAATCTTGGGAAGTATTTTAAAAAGTCCATCCCTGCTAAACCAATCAAAAGCCTTTGTGAGATCTATGAAGGCCACGAAGAGTGGCTGTCATTCTCTACATTTATCCTGCAACTGTCTGACGGAAAATACCATGTCAATGGTGGACCTATTAGCTCGAAATCCACACTGTGATTTTGGATAGACTGTCTGCAAGCACCTGGAACCACTTCAGCACAACACGGGCAAGCAGTTTCCCTGCAATGCTGAGAAGAGAGATGCCACAGTAGTTATTGCAGTCACCCCTGTCATCTTTGTTCTTGTACAATGTAACGACGTTTGCATCCTTCATGTCCTGTGGTACTCCACCTTCCCTTCAGCAAAGACAGATTTCATACTGCTCAGAGGTGATGATCTCTTTACAGCACTTCAACAGAGATCCTTCCCAGGTGCCTTGCCAGAGGTGAGGGAATGCAAGGTCGCTTTTATTTCTGCTAAACTTGGTTCGCTCTCCAACTTTTCCAAGACAGGCAGGCACTCAATGTTATTTAATGCCTCTTTGGTTACAATATTCTCTCTGGAATATAGCTCAGAGTAGTGCTGCACCCAGCGTTCTATCTGTTGTGCTTGGTCCTGGCTGATCACACCTGTAGCAGACTTCAAAGGAGCAGATTTCTTCTGTATTGGACCTAAAGCCTCCTTGATACTTTCATACATCCCCTTGATGTTACCTGTGTCCACTGTGGTCTGCATCTGAGAGCAGAGCTGAAGCCAATAATAGTTAGAACATCTCCTGGCAGTCTGTTGGACTTTGCTGTGAGCAACTCAAAGACCCTGCAAGTTGTACTCACCATGACAGGCTTTGTATACTGCTAGAGCTCTCCTCTTATCCTCAGTGGCTGGCATCAACTCCTCCAAATGGGCTTCAAACCTGTCTTCTTGCCAAATGTAGACAAGGCGGTGTTATAAACAGCAGTCTTGAAATTTTCCCATCATTCAGGTGCATTTGCAAAAGACGGGCCTGGAAGCGCTTGGACAAACTGCTCCACGTAAAGAACAGTAGGTTAAGAATGAAAGAGGACTTTTAAAGGAAATGAGTAACTTGACCATTTGTTCCAGAGTTTAGTTACCGAGAAGTGTTAACAAAGTTAAGCGATGAGTCTGTGAGGACAGTTGGCAGTGACTAACGCTGTGTGTTTGTCTTCAGATGCAACGTTTAACAGAGTCTATCATCAGTGTAAAATTTTTACTGTAACAGGAAAAGATAATTGAAAGCTGAATGAACAAATAAACGGGTGTCTCTGCACTCTGCCTGGTGAGACATGTCTCTCACAAGAACTGGCACCCTGACAAAATAACGATGGTTTTTAATAAATGGCTTATTCACACCCTTTTGTCTGTAACATCACTTCTGTAATTTGCATGTTGGATGTGGGAGTGAACAGTGAGTTTATTTATGTATTGGCTTGCAAGGAATTTCTTTCAAAACAGAATAGCAGAGAACGTCATTGGAAGAATGCACAAAACGATGTTATCACTTTGGCTTCCCTAGCACTGAGAGTGGTATAATTGGAAATTGAAATCTAAAACGGTGTATCTTAAAAGCATTAGATAATTACCAGCTGTCATAGCTGATAGTTCTATTTTAAATCTTTTAATTTCGTGGCTGCTGTCACCATCTGCAGTGATCATGGAGCCCAAGAAAGTAAAATCTGTCACTGCTTCCATATCTTCCCCTTCTGTTTGCCAGGAGGTGATGGGACCAGTGGCCATTATCTTAGAGTTTTTTTTAATGTTGAGCTTCAGACCATTTTTTGCAGTCTCCTCTTTCACCCTCATTAAGAGGTTCTTTAATTCCTCCTCACTTTCTGCCACTGCATCTGCATATCTGAGGTTGTTGATATTTCTTCTGGCAATCTTAATTCCGGCTTGGGATTTATCTAGTTCTGTCTTTCGCATGATGTATTTTGCATATAAGTTAAATAAGCAGGGGGACAATATACGGCCTTGTCGTACTCCTTTCCCAATATTGAACCAATCAGTTGTTCCATATCCAGTTCTAACTGTTGCTTCCTGTCCCACATATAGATTTCTCAGTAGATAGATA